CACTACAAACACAATTCCCTTCACTTTATACAGTTTCTAACCGTAGAGAAGCACCTATTTCTTGCCTTTTGGCTTTGTTTAATCCAAATAGTAGGTGAGAGCTGTTATCACTTATTAGTTTCCTGTCCTTTTGTTTCAGAAATCTGGTGTTGGTTTTTCTCTCTCTTTGGTTGCAAGTGCCCCACTCCTCCAAGTGTGTAAAGTTTGTTTATTTCTACTTCAGTGAGGGGTTTAAAAAAGAGAGGTAAAATCTTGTGGAGATGTGTAAGAGCAGTTGTATGCTGGACAGTCTAGGAGGAAAGGAACCAACGTACTTTCCATGATAAAGAAAAGAACAAAGAAGCCATCATTGACTTAATCTATGTAAGGGTGATTCACTGGGTCAAGTCTATGAAGCTATTTGAAGGATTCTCAGCAGGAGATATCATTAGAAATTGGAAAGAAGTTGCCTGGTCCGCTCAGTTGATTAATTCCCTAGCTCCAACTTGGTCTCCTCCAACTTTGGGGTTCACAAAATTGAACTTTGATGGCAGCAGCGAATAAAATCCAGGCCCTTCAGGTATAGGTGGAGTGTTTAGGGACGAAGGTGGTCGAGTTTTGGCCATGTTTTCAGGACCTATAGGTAGGGGTGCTCACGGTTCGGGTAACCAAACCATGGGCCTTTTTTGTGAACCGAACTGGTAGTACCAGTTTTCGGAAAACTGGTAATTGGAACCGAACCGAAACTAGTCGGTTAACCGACGGTTCGGTTCGTCGGTTTTTCGGTTTTTTGACTTTATAATATTTATTATAAAAACATATATAAATATTATAAAAAATTATAAATATACATATATATAAAATATTATATTTTAAATAATAAATAATATATTATAAATATATATTTATATATATAATGTATATTTATTAATTTATAATATATAAAATATATATATAATATACATAAATATATAGAAAATATATAGAAAAACATGTATACCGGTCGGTTCGGTTAACCATCGGTTTTTTAAATTGGTTAACCGAAACCAAACCAGTACCTTCAGTTTTTTAAAAACACCGAAGTTAACCGATTATTCGGTTCGGTTTTTGTAGGTTTTTTCAGTCGGTTCGGTTTTTTTTGTTCACCCCTACCTATAGGTTGGGGGGATTCTTTGAGAGCTGAAATTTCAGCAGTATTAGAAGGAATAAAAAGAGCCAAACAGATGAATATTAGGAAGTTGCTGGTGGAGGGGGACTCTAAATTAACTATTAATTGGCTGCAAAAGGAAGATGTTAGTATGTGGAAATTCTCGAATGAAAAAAAGAAAATCTACAAGCTCTCTCAAGACATGCAAATTCAGTTTCAATGGTTAAAGAGGAGTGCTAATTCTTTTGCAGACTGTTTAGCTAAACAAGGGGTGGGAAGAGCTAGTTTCTTTTGGGCTGTATTGTAATTTGATGTTTTTCTTTTAGGGTGGGGTAAGAGTTTTGACCCCTCTCCTGTTGTATCTTCTTCCTTCTCCTTTATTAATAAAAGTTTCTGTTATTGATAAAAAAAAAGGTGTAATTGGGATTTGGGTTTTAGAAGAGGGCTTCATGATTGTGAAATGAACAATGTCATTAGCCTCCTGCAAAAATTGGATGGGATGTGTTTGGAAGTGGGTAAGAGGAATATGACCCCATCACCTTTAGGTACCTTCTCTTGTGGGTCTTTTTTTCTTCAGCCTTTATTCGACCGAGTGAAAGCTAGGAGTCTTCCTTTCCTTCTAATGAGATTTGGAGTAAACCTATTCCACCTAGGGTGGGTGATTTATGCTAGGAAATGTGTTTGGAAAGAATTAATACTTGTGAGTTACTGCAAAGAAAAAAGACCTAGTTGGTGCCTTTCCCCTCACTGGTGTTCCCTATGCAAAGGTAATGGTGAGAATTGCTATCACTTGTTAGTTTCCTGCCTTTTTTCTTCTTCCATTTTGCGAATGGTTCTTTTCTTTGTTTCGGTGTAGGTGGACCCCCCCTAATGTACAAAGCTTATTTGCTTCTACTTTTCTAAGCTGGTCAAAGAAGAGGGGAAGACTACTATGGAGATGCACAAGGGCAGTGCTGTGTTAGACAATTTGGGAGGAGAGGAACCAAAGACTTGAAAAAGCAAGAAACAGAGAAGTTGTCGTTGAATCTATCACCACCAAGGTGATTTAGTGGGTTAAGTCATTGGATATTTTTAAAGATGTTCATAGCATTGAAGTGATGAAAAAGTGGAGAGGGATAGCTGATTTTGCTCCAGATAAGGAGGTGGTTAGGCCTGTTTGGTTCCCACCCTCTAGTAGCATCATTAAACTCAACTTTGATAGTAGCATTGAAGACAATCCAGAATTCTCTCAATTCAAGTGCCACTTTGATTGGGGTGGGAAAAAGTATGATTTTGAGGACCTAGAGAAAGAAAGAGGGCAAAATAATGAATCTAATCTTAGAAAGCTTGTCAACTTTTGATAAGCTTTCATTAAACTCTAGTAGCATCATTAAACTCAACTTTGATGGTAGCAGTGAAGACAATCCAGAATGCTCTCAATTCAAGTGCCACTTTGATTGGGGTGGGAAAAAGTATGATTTTGAGGACCTAGAGAAAGAAAGAGGGCAAAATAATGAATCTAATCTTAGAAAGCTTATCAACCTTGGTTGTTGAGAAGAAATTAGAAGGGGTTGGGGTAAGTCACCTTGTTTGTTCTACAAGTGCAGAACACCGGTTGAGCAATTTCTCTTGTTATGTAGAGAGCTGATCCAATTGAACAAGAAGGGTGTCAAGAGAAAAGGGCAGGAAAGAAAGTTGAAAAGAATTTAGGGGAAACATAAGTGTACTCAAGTTAAGGAGGAAAACAGAGTAAAAGGAAGAGGCTGAGATCGAAAAACTTAAATGTGGAATAGCCTATGAAAAGGAGGAAAGTAGAAGAAAGGAAAGAAGGAAAAGGGATTGCTGAAATTAAAGGAAATTTTCAGGGCCTTTTAGTTTGACTCAATGAAGATCCTAAGTTGGAATGTGAGGGGATGGTTTAAAATCCCCCTAATTTCCCTAATATTTCCACGACATTTCCATTTCCATGGGTAGTGACATGAAATTTTACCAAAATTGACATATTCCTCAATGAACACTATCAACACTTTGTGGAGTATAAGAGATAGTTCCCACGACATATTTCCATTCCCACTTCCATGGGTAGTGACATAAATTTTACTGCAATTGACATATTCCCCAGTGAGCACTACTGGCACTATGTGGAGTACAAGAGATAGTATTATAACATAAGTTAGTGACAATATTGTAGATATGCGGAATAACAATGTTATTGCCCACCAAACTTACATGATTACCACTTTGAGCTAGCTCAATATTAAATTCAAACATGAAATTAAATATTAGTTTTTGTTTGTGTAATATATTGTTTGGTTTATCTATTACAACCACTTATATTTTCTATGAGTTTAAATTTTGCTTTAACTCATTCTATCATGAAGCTTTGAATCTTAAGGTTTGCATGGCAACTTCAAAACATATTCTTTTGTCTACAACCATAGTTTCTTAGCTTTGTTTAATCATTTGGAACAAAATAATAATTTAAAAAGGTGTATCTATGCATCTTTTATCATTTCATAAAATATCATTCTATATTTTGCATATTTTACAATGATTCCACCATGACTATAATTTTTAATATATTTCCATAAGATATTTTCGACATGTCTGACATTTTCTTATATTTGGACGATTGACATTTCCACCAGCATCAACATTTTAAACCTTAATGAGAGGTTTAAGAAGTGTGAATTATAAGGAGCGCCATTAGGAAAGAAAGGCCAGACTTGGTCATATGTTCAAGAGACCAAATTATCAGAATTAGATAGAAGATGGAGTTGAAGAATCTGGGGAGCTAGGGGGCTTACCTGGGCTTTTGCCCCCTCTTGGGGGCTATATTCAACAGCCTTAATGATATCAGTTTTCAAAATTCTCTCTTTCCAAAGTCGAGATGTTCAAGTCATAAAGTCAGCAAATTATTTTTTTTCCATTTTATTTTGGTGAAATAACAAATTAAGAGAATTCCTTCACAACCATAGATACTTGATTGAACCAAGCAAGTAAAAGCTTGAAAAATCAGTCTGCAGGATAAGCTGTCTGAATTTAGAAACCCTGATGGCTTGGTTTTGAAGTTGATTTAGAGTTGGGTTTTAATTTAACTTTAGTCGAGTTTTAGTTCATAACACTTTATGAAATCCTTGTATCCTACTAGTGATCTCCTTAGGGGTAAACTAATGTTTTATTTTGATAATCAACAGGACTGAAGAACAAATAATGAACCACACTTTCCCAAGACAGACAGTGTAGGCAATACAACAACATTCAGCTGACAGACTAATACATGATTGGTATACATATTACAAATCATTCCCCAGCCCTGGTAAACCCCATTCAAGTTCTTGCCTTGTTGCCCCTGCTTTTGCTAAGGAATCTGCCAGCCCATTTACAGACCTAGGCATCAACCTGAATGAGTAATTCAGGTAGCTTTCTAGATATTCAGCTTCTGTTGCTAAGAATCAGAGTATCCACGGAGGTTCATCGTTTGCTGTTGGAGAACATATTGATTAACTTTGAACTCAGTGAAAAACTCTCTTGACCCTGGTTTTGTGAAAAAAGAGCATAGTGCAGGATTTATTTTGACCAATTGTAGTCATGTTCTGAGTTCATAAAACTTATGAGTCCTGTTATCCTACTAGTGGTCTTGTTAAAGAGTAAACTAATGTTAGAGAACTTAGTGATTGACTTTAAACTCAGTGAATCACTCTCTTGACCCTGATTTTGTGAAAATAGAGCACAATGAATGATTTGTTTGGACCATTTTTTGGTACCACTGATGTCTTTTAATGGCTTACCTAGTCAAACTCAGAGTTCAGATGATTGTTTCTGGGTCCTGGGATATGGTCTGAGTGTTTAGCATTGAACTAATCTTTTTATTCTTCACTATGATTTTATGTAGGCTCTCAAGCTCTGGTGGAAAAATGTTCCATTCATACAACATCCACGATATACCAATCCATCATATAGAGAGGAAGCTTCCATCCGAAACCGGAAACTTCAATTCTGTCAGATTAGTGGACAGGATGATAACAGTCATCTGAACTTTGATAGCAGTTACTCTAGTATTATGAATCAGAGTAGCATCAAGGATCGTTGGTGTGTTTGGAGAGATGCTCAATGGCCGTGGGGATAAAGACGTTGTTATCAATTACTCCATTGGGTTTCATTTTGTAAGATCTGTAACTTTTCATCTATTTCCAATAGTAATATCTTACGGGGACAAAATGAAGTGACAAAAAGATATTTTTGCTGTTCTTGGATTCAAACATCTTCATGTTTCCTATTAAGATATTAGCTTGACTTAATTTCGAATTCTTTCAAGTCTACTGTGTCCTTGACAATCCTACAAATTGCATTATCCCTGAAGATAATTGGAATGAAATTCTTGTGACTGTTATTTCCTCTGAAATGGCTCTAGGTGTTGATTCATGAACAGTGGGGTTTTGTTGTCAGTCCTTTTATTTTCCATCTTTTTCATCATGGTGGATCATTGAAATGCCTCTTTCATTCACTAAATGTTGCTCTTAAAAAGATTTAGTGTCTAACTTACCAAAATAAGAAGATTTAATGTCTGGCATGCTTTTAGGGTGATGATGACAACTCTTCTCTTAAGTGCCAGGTGCAGAGAAGTTTCTCTCCTTAGTCAAGTGTGGTGTTATACTTCAAAGAGATTACAGAAGATGAGAAAAAGAATGAAATTATCAAGGAATTTTCAAGCTAAAAGCTTAATCTGTTACTCTGTTAGGCGAGATCCTTGAATAGGTTCCTAGTCTCTAACACACCCCCTCAAGCGAAATCCTATTGGGCTTGAAGCATGGATAAGCACAGTTCAACCCATACCTTGTGCTGAAATTAAATTAATTATAATGGGGGCTGTGGGGATCAAACACTAGACCACTTGGTCAAACAGGCTCTGATATCATCTCAAGGAACCATTCAACCTAAAAGCTTAAACTGTTAGGTGAGGTCCTTGAATAGGTTTTTAGTCTCTAGAAAAAATTATATATCTAAGAGGAATACTTGCAAATGGTCTAATAACTGAGTCGTTTTCCACGATCAAGAAAGAAGAGATGTTGCTTTGATTGGGCAGGTGGAGTAGAGAGCCATTAATAAGAGAAAATTCGGCTACACAAGTCTTGAGGTAGCTCTACACCATACATCTTCTGTTGCTTAGACGTCTTTTGCCATGCTACTAAGAGAGTGATTGGTACTACGATGTGACTACGATGTGACTTCCCATTTCTATTCCATGTAGGCCCTGCATAGGTGGTTGAATTTTAATGTTCAAAAAGTCATGTTTGGTAGAGAGAAATACTGTGTTCCTGGGGCAGTTGGATTCTTGAATCCAGAAAGAGTTCCTGCTTCACTTGTCCCATGTGGTGTATATAAAGAATGAACCATCCAACACCATCATACTATAATGGACTGGATCAGAAATGTTCAGATGCTTCAATTGATGATGGTCTATCAGGTATAAGATCTAAGGATACTGGTATTCAAAAAGTAAGCAAGAGAGTAAACCATCCATTATATGACATTAAGATGAGTTTAAAGGGAGTATGACCTTGAAACTCGAGCATCACCAAAATTGAGCCATATTGAATGACAAAGGGGCCATTTCATAATGGCTTAAGTTGCTGAACTGAATGACTTACCGCTTTGTCTTTTAATGGATAAAAACAATTACATAAAATATTCAAGGATATAGTAATCTACCCAACCTCAGATTCAGCCATTAAGGAGCCCACAATCTCCTAAAAATTTATTCACTAAAAGACAAAGTAATAAGTTTTTCAGTTCAGCCACCTCAACTGTTATCAAATGGTCCCTACGTTAGGTGGATCAAGTCACACTTAGATTCTGTATTCAAGACAAGATCAATCTTTTGCATACCTTTCATAACAGCAACTTATATCCATTTGATGGATAGAGGAAATACTTTTCATCAGGAGAGAAGTAACCCAAGAAACTCTTCATCTTATGGTCTCCATGTCACTTCATAAATGTACTTGCAGAAGCTCTGGTCAACAACTCAGAGAGGATGTATTGAAGAATGTACTGATCAGAAAAAAAGGTGCATTGAAGAATGCCATCTGGCAAATTACTGATCCATTCAAATGTTCCCCCATTGCCATTACCAATCTCTCTTTCTCCATTATTAGACTGTCAATTCTATAAGTTTGAACAAACTTGGTTAAAAAATTTCATGCCCTTTTAATTAAAACTATGTCAATACTCTTTTTTTTTTTTTTTCATCAGCAACTTAAAGAACAAAAGGGTACAACAAGAAGTTGTTAGGGCACAGACCCTTTACATCAAAAATCCCGCCACACAATTAACATTGAGCCCAGAACAAATGCTGCCTATGAATTCTTTGCTTAGCTAATCCACCCGCCCACACACCTCCTAATCCATCTTACTTGGATTTGCATATTTCTTGATATCATATCTGAATTTCCATAGAACCCTTTCTCCTTTTTTTTCAACCAGCCAACCACTATATTTGAGTCCCCTTCAACAATCAGCCTAGTAATTCCCATATCCTTATCTTTTTGCACCCCAGAAATAGAAGCCATAAAATTCAGCTCTCACTGGGTCACCTTGATCAATAGGTCCTGAATACAAACCATCTAGAACATTAGAGGAATTTGTTTGATAAATTTGATTCTTAAGTTTATGAAAAAGAAATAAATATGGGTGTTCTAAACTTTTCAGATTCATGAGTAATTGTCTTAAGCCCAGCCTACATCCGGCCTACCAACCTGTGCTTTTTTTATAAATAATACCAACCTGTGCTTATCATGGTGTTGTTGAGACATCCTTCTTGGTCCATTGTTCAGATGGTTAAGATGGCAAGAGCTTCAACCACCGAAAAGAATGGGATGGATTTCAAAGATATATACCCCCAAAGGTCAAATTTGAGCAATGCAGACATAGAGCAATCCCTGATTGAGTTAGTCATGACAAATAACCCAGCTACTACCAGGCATTGTCTTCACACCCCTTTCATTCATCTCCCTCTTCAGTCTCTCTGCTTCCTCTAATCTGCCTACACTTGCATAGATGTTTGCCAAGAGTATGAAATTTGAAGCATTATCTGGCTCTATATCGAACAAAACCTGCGCAGCAATTTCCGCAAGTTCCACTTCTCCATAAGTCCGGCATGCCCCAAGAAGAGCTCCCCAGGCTTTGGCTGTCGCCTCCATTGGCATTGCACATATGACCTTGTAAGCTTCGTGAAGCCTCCCTGCCCGACTCAAAACATCCACCAAACATGCATAGTGGTTGCTATCAGCTTTAACATTATAGTGCGTGCGCATTCGTGTGAAGTACCCCAAGGCCTCATCGGCCAATCCTGCGTGACTACAAGCTTTCAGCACTCCAAGAAATGCAATTCCATCGGGCTCTACTTTTGCCAATTCCATTTTTTTGAAGGTTGCCAGCGCAGCTTCAGCCTTCCCGTGTAGTGCATAAGCAGAGACCATGGCGCTCCATGCAACTACATCTCTTTCGTACATCCGTTCAAAAACCCAACATGCGCTGACAAGACACCCACATCGGCCATAGGCTTCGACAAAACCACTGCTTAACTGGGGATGTGGGTCAATGCCATTCCTAATCGAGTAGCCATGAATCTCTTTAACAAGGTTCAAAGCGGCCACACCAACGCAAGCGGGTAGGAGAGCAAGAACTGTTATTAAATTTGGTTTTACACCTGACACCTGCATTCTCCTATAAAAGGCAAGTGCTTCAGGAGAACCACTTCTCAATTCAGACAATGCGGCAATGATCGAATTGAAAGTTGACGCATTGGGTGTAATATCCATAAGATCAAACAACTTGAGTGCGGAGGCGACATCCTTGGAGCCGGAGTAGAGTGAAATGATTGCGTTCCAAACGACAACATTCCGTTGAGGAGCTTCATCGAACAACTGGCGAGCGGCAGAGATTGAGACGCACTTCCCGTACATGTCGACCAGGGCACAGACTATGAAGGGATTGGAGACGGAGGCGGCCTTGGTAGTGTGGGCATGGATGGTGGCGCCGAGTTGTGGGCGGTGGAGGGCAGCGCAAGACTTGAGAGCAAGGGGAAAGACAAAAGCGTCGAGAGCGAGATGAGGAGAGGTGTGCATGACATGAAAAAGGGCGAGGGCTTGCTCGTAGCGGCCTTGGTTTACGTGAGAGGCCAACAGCTTGGTGTGAGAAAGCAAGCGTTGACGGCCGGAGGAAAGGGATCCCATGTAACTAATTCCTTACCAACCTGCAATTTACAAAACTTGCTTCCCCAATCCCTCCTACTGTCGACGAGTCGACGACTCTCTGAGTCCCTGCTCTCTAGTGGCTGGTCAACTCCAAGAATCTAACTGACGAGAAAATTTTGGCTGCCCATTCTCCGCAGGAATTCCCGACGAAAGCGCATGCCACGTTGCCCTTTTCATTCAAGAGTTTTGGCGGGTAAACAGTCGGTAATCCGTCCAAGTCTGGATGACCGTTAAAGTTATTTTAACTAACTATTTAGGGTTCTTCGATCGAGTCCTCACGAAGCGCTCCTCATACCGACTGAGATGTTTCCCATACAGGGTGGGATGTGGCTGTAAAGTTAGTGTGAGGATCGCTCAGTGAGGGCAGATCCCAATTCTCTTCAACCAATTCAGATCCAGTTCAGATAACCCTACTCACATGATATTACAGTTATACATTGGAAACATCTCCACGATGTTCTCCATATAGCTAGAACTGTAAATTGGGCCATGCTAAGCATGGCATGAAGGTAAGGGCTGTATTGGGTTTGACTTTTCAAGCCCACTGGCTGGCACGATAGTGCGGGCCATGTTGGCATGGGCCTGTGACCCGGCATGGCCTAGCCTGACTATTATATAATTATATACGTATTTATATTTACATGTATATGCATATGTAATAATAATTATATATATATATATGTTTTCAATTTTATTATACTATTTTATTTCAATCGTAATTTTTTTAATTTCATTTTATTATTTTACATATAAATAATTGTATACATCAAAATTCATATAAAATAAAATTTAAGATTTTTTCAATTTTTTTTGTCTATCTTGTTAATTTATTTTATTATTCTTTTCAAGTTTTTTTTTAAAATATACTTCTCATGGATTGGTCTGGCTTGTCAAAAGCACGGGCCACCCATGGTAGCCCAGCACAGCCCGATTTACACCTCTACATATAGGGAATCCAAATGATATAAGTGGCTAATCACAAACAAGAAGTAGAAGTCCAATTCACAACCACGAGAAATAAAAGAGAAAACAACCCCTCCCCAACCAGACCAGAAACTATTAAAGCTAATTAAACAACATCTTGGGACAATTGATACTCTACTGGGGATGACAATTAATACCCCATTGGGTGGGTACTTGCTTTACCCGCCCCAATAGGAAAGGTTTTTTGGTTTAATATAGGTTTTGGGATTTTACAGTCCCATAAGAGTATGGGTAGGGAATGGTATTAGGCTAAACCTGACTCACATATTGCTAAAAGACATATGGAACCCTATGCTTAACTATAATTTATAAATTATAATTCTTAAGTTCTAACTATCCTATCCAACCATAAGACATGCATTGTCATAACTTCTAAGTAAAAATATAATTAATAATTATTTTTTATTTAAATAATTACTATATATTTTTTAATTCCAAAAATGCAAAAAATAAAAAATAAAAAATAAAAAAATTGTATAATATATTCAAAAAATAATTATTGAAGAAGAAATTTGAATTATTCTATGGATACGATAAGTCATCCATAGATCTACAATATATTCAATCCTTGTGATTAGATCATAAAATATAATTAATTGTTATTTATTTATTTTTAATTCTAAAATATAAAAAAATAATTATTGAAAAAGAAATTCCAATTACTCTATGAATTTAAAAGATTATCCATAGATCTATAACATACATAGTAATCTTATGAGTACATTTTGTTAACAAGTTACTCATAAAAGGACAATTAATAAATGATGTCAGAAGTGTATGATACCGGAAAAACCTTCAACAATCAGACTTCGTAAGGGTATGACACTGTATCTTCTTGACAGGTTAAACCATTGGATCTGGGTTCATAGGGTGGCTGAAACTCAAATCCCTCTTGAAATAAAGTGTTGGGTTGAAGTTCAATTAGAGTGAGGGCGGTTCACTAAGTATCACTTAGTGAATTCGGCCCATGTGTTTCAACATATGGTCCGAACCAATGTCGGACAAATTTGGGAGCTTGATGGGTCCCACACCATATAAGGAAGAAGTTAAGGTGGTTGGACGGTCATGTGAGGATAAACATTTGCTTGAAAGCTTTGATAATATCCCAATAAGGCAAGTTTGACAAGCAACTTAACTAGTTTGATTAGGAGGTTAAGTTGTTGGGATTCTTGGCTATTAGGAAACAATTTTAGAGCTTATTCCAATTAAAAACCCTTTAAAATAGTTGGAAACTATTAGGAAACTCCTTTTAGGATTCTAGGATTCTTAGAGTCCAGCTCTATATAGAGTGTAGGAGAGATGAGAGAATAAGATATATTAAAGAATATTTATCCTAAAACCCTAGTTTGACTAAGGTTGAAAGGAAGCTCTTTTTTCTTTCTTTACTTTTAAGTTTTTCCAACAAAAGATCTACACTCTTAAAGTGATTAACATATGCAAATCATTGGAGATTCGATCAACCCAATGGAGTGAGAAGAAAAACAGTCCCAAAAGATATAAGAAATCAGATTAAAAAGGAGAAGACAACAAATAGAGAAGAGAAAGGGAACGATTGAGAAGAAAGGGTGAAAGAGAAGAGTTGTTCATATTTCTTCCTTTCCCTAATCTTTTTCATGAAAGAATAATCACTAATAATAAAAAATTACAAGTAAATTCTTAGTAATAACAAGTAAGTCCTTAGTGGGGTGGCTAGCTAATTAAACATACGAGAAACTAAAGTTATGAGCTATTAAGAAAATAGAATATAAACATAAAATTAAAAGCACAACTATGGGCTATGGGCCATTTGGTCAATCTTCTCTACACTCCCCCTCAAGTTGAGCATAGATGTCAATCATGCCCAGCTTGCATGCATCATGTTGTAGCTTGGCCTTGGAGACTCCCTTGTTAAGAATATCAACTAATTGTTTTTCAGATGTAATGAAGGACAGACAAATTTCTCTAGAAGCCACTCTTTTTCTGATGAAATGCCTATTAACTTCAATGTGCTTGGTTCTATCGTGTTGTACAGGATTGTGGGAACTGTTAATGACAGCCTGATTGCCACAATACAACATTAGTGGTCTGTCATACTCAACACCTAATTTCTCCATCAAGGATCGAAGCCAAAGCAATTCAATGAGCCATAGCTCTCTACTTTGCTTCAACTGAAGATCTAGCAACCATAGATTGTTTCTTACTTCTTCAAGAAACAATATTACCTACCACCATACTACAATACCCTGAATTCGACCTCCTATCATAAATGTTGATTGCCCCATCAGCATCTGTATAGGCTTCCAATTTATATGGCCATGTTTAGCAAAAAGAATACCTTTCCCTGGAGTACTATTAAAGTAACATAAAATCATCTCCACTGCTGCCATATGTGCATCTCTGGGGGTGTGCATGAACTGGCTAATGCAACTAGACCTGTTCATGGGCTGAGTAGCCCGATGGCCCGGCCCGGCCTGGCCCGCACCCCGGTCGGGCTTGGTCATGTAATTAGGCCCGCGGGCCTGACCTCGGGCCTAACATAGTAAGCCCGACTGTGTTTCGGGCCGGGCTCGGGATTTGTCAAAAAAGCCCGGCCCGACTCAACATTATATATTTTATAAAATATATAATATGTATTTTATATATTATATAAAATATATAAATAATATAATATTTATTAAAATATATATTTATAATTTAATATATACATTTTTTATTCTTTTCTTTATAATCTCTCTCTCTATTCAGCCGCTAATAGTATGGGCTAAATTTCGGGCTCGGGCCCAAGCCCAGGCTTGGGCCTTATAAAATTCTGTTAATACAGAGTGAAAGCCCAGCCCGACCCATGAACAGGTCTAAATGCAACTAACAACATATGCAATGTCATGGTGAGTATACATAGATATAGGAGTTTCCCTAATAACCTTTGGAACACTCCCTATCCTTCAACAGTTCTCCATCAGAAGTAGAAAGCTTGTGCCTCGTATCAATAGGGGTAGCCACCGGTCTTGCACCCATTTTACCTGTTTCAATGAACAACTCTAGCACATACTTGCGTTGGGATATGAAGATTCCATCTTCAGACCGAGCCACTTCAATACCTAAAAAATACCTCAATTCTCCTAGATCTTTGATCTCAAACTCTGCATGGAGGAAGGCTTTAAGGTCATCAATCCTTGTCACATCAGTGCTAGTCTTGTCAGTCACTACAATGTCATCCACATAGACTATAAGATATACCACCAATGAACCTCTCCTCTTCACAAAGAGTATATGATTAGACTGAGTCTGTGTGTAACCAATGTTAACAAGAGCAACCCTAAACTTCTCAAACCAAACTCTAGGAGACTGTCTGAGCCAATAGAGAAACTTCTTCAGCTTGCACACCTTACCCCCCATGTATGAGCCATACATCCCTAGTGCGAAAGATATATACACCTCCTAAAGAAGGCATTTTTCACATCTAGCTGATAGAGGGGTCAATCTGAATGAGCTGCCAAAGATAGTAGGACCCTCATAGAGGTCATCTTCGCAACAAGGGCAAAGGTCTTCAGGTAGTCAATCCCATACGTCTGAGTATAGTCATTTGCAACTAATCAGTCTTTGTACCTCTCAATAGAGCCATCAACATGATATTTGATGGTATACACCCACTTACAGTCCACTGGCTCCTTTCCTTCAAGAAAATCAACCACTTCCTATGTGGCATTCTTGTACAATGCCTCTATCTCAGTTCTCATAGCATCCCTCCATTTTAGAGTAGAGAGTTCTTCTGATACAGACCTAGGTATAGGGTGAGAAATAGATGTAAGAAAGGACTACTATGAAGGAGAAATAAGACCATAAGAAAGATGTTTAGAAATGAAATGTGTAGTACATTTTTGTTTACCTTTTCTTATGACAATAGAGACATCAAGATTTGGGAAGGGAGGCTGCAAGGGTGTGACCTCAGCACCTATTGTTTCTTCAGCAACTGGAAGTGTAGGAGGCTCATGTGGTGTAAGAGAAACAATATGCTCACTCCTAGTCTTTTGCCATTAGTACCACCTGTGAATAAGAGGATGGCGAGGTGGCAATGGTGGAGAAACATGAATAGTGGAGGAACTAGGAGATGATTGTTCCCTTCTAGACTCAATAGAAAAAGACTCAAGTGAAAAAAACTCAACAAAAACCAAAAGGGGAAGTGCAAACAACTATGACAAACACTCCCCCTGTGAATGATGCTCCCTTGAGAAGAACCAAAAAGGAGTAGACTCATCAAAAGTGGCATCCATTGAAACATAATGAGTCCCACTACTAAGATCAAAACAACAACATGTCTGTGTGGAAGCATAAACAAGGAAAATGCACTTATGGGCCTTTGGTTCAAACTTATGCATCTAGGTACTATAAATTTGTACATTATAGGTGCAGCCAAAGACCCAAAGGGGAAGAGAAAAAATCTCCTTATTTGGATAAAAAGATTAAAAGGAGACTTAAATCCCAAAACTC